AGATCCCCTTCAAGACTGTTCTTATCATGGGAACATTTCCCTCTCATGATAGAAAGAGGAGTGTATTAAAGATAGGTCTTTCCTGTTCTTTTAGCTGTTGAAAGGTTGTTCCAGAACCTATCTGTAGTTGTAGAATATCTGATACACAGGCAAAATGGTCTTTTTCTAGTTACTGAATTCTACCTGATAAGGGCCAAGACGTGTGCCATGAGATCCTGTGAACCTGAGCACATGCTTACCTTCAGAAGGTGGCTGTGTGCATTTGCAAAGTTGCTGCTTTTAAGTTCTTGTTCTGTCTTCACTGCTGTGAGTGAGTGCAGTGGTTCTGAAATCCTGAGGCTTACCTATGTGTCTTTTTATCAGGAACTGCTTATTTAATCGTAGTTGGTAGTTACTGTATTTTCAGAAAGCTGGTTTGAACATTCCTGGTTTTGCATTTGGTTGTTGGTATAGATCTTGTCCACATTTCTATTCCTAGTGCTTCCTGCTTGCAAAAGGAAAAAAAACCCACCAAACCAAACAAACAAAGTTTTAACCCCTCCAGTACACTGTGCTAGCATGGCTTATTTGATCAAACGTCTTAACTTTCCATGTGGTGATTTAGCAAATGTGTCAGGGATGCCTAGATCCCACTGCATATGAAATGATTTGCTAATGCTGCAGTCTTCATCTGCTGTAGTAAATATTTTTCTTTCTTCATATTAGATAAACTGTGTTTTTGAATGGGAAATTTGAACTTAGTAAGTTGATTTTTGCAATTCCTGTAATGAAATGGTTCACATGAGCTGTTCTCTTGCATGTATTGTAGAAAGGGGGACCTTAACTTCCTTTTGAGAAGCCCCATCATTCCTGTCTTCTCACCCCAGCCATTTGCTACATCATGGTCCGTGTGCTAGTCTGATGCTGGCATGCCAAGATGCTCCCTAGGAGATTGTTAGATGTTAGACTTCTTTGTCAACCCCAAAATGTGTAAACAGTTACTGTTGCTGTGCTGGGTTTAATAGCAGCTAACTTAATGTGAGCGAGAGGAATAGCAAGGACCAACTGAGCATCTGTCTAGCCCAGAATCCTGCCTGCTGTTCAGTGACAGGGAAAACGCTGTGGTCAGGGTTGTGGTTTTTCCAGGATAGGGATTGTCCTCTGTGCTCCTGAGTGCTGACCCCATGGTTCTCAGGAGTTGGGATGAGAACCTTCTGTGGTAGTGGGGGGCTGTGTCGCATGCCCCCAATCCAGGCAGATAGGAGGCATGTAGGCAAGAAGAAAGTACAGGAATTGGACAGTGTCTAATGGTAATTCTCTGACTGTTGTCCTCTTCTTGGTGATTGAGGGAGTTCCTGAGCTAAAGGAGTTGTTCTCTTATTTCTCATAATTCTCAGAACACTTTTTTTGCTAATTTTTGGCTTTTGAATTAAGCCACCTCTTCAGTATCCTATAGCAAGGAGCTGTGCGCTCAAACTGTGTGTTAGGAGGGAACGTCTGCTCTTCTTCTCCTTAGCACCTGCTGATTTCACCTGATGCTGAATAGAGGCAGCAGGCAAGTCAGTCAAATAGTGTAAATGAGCCTTTAAAAAGAGAAGTTCATAAACAAACTAACCTTTTGATGAGATAACCCCTTCTCTTGTGAGAGGCCCGTCAAAATACTGGTTCAGTTGTGTTCTGGAGGACGTCTTCACCAAATGACAGTAGTGTGCAACTTTGATGTAGAATATTATTTGATGGTTTATAAGAAAATGAAGGCTTTTATTTTGGAGAATCTAAAACTTCAGACATTTGTGATTTATGAAGATAGAAGCCTAAACTTAATGCCATTTTACATTGTACTTCTTTGTGGTGTGGTGGTTTTTTTTTCCCAAGTGCTTGGAGGGTGTGAAAGCATTTTTAACTTTTTTTCTTTTCCTTCTACACTAGGAGGCAAGTGAAGCCTACTTGGTTGGCCTGTTTGAAGATACCAACCTGTGTGCTATCCATGCCAAACGTGTCACAATCATGCCAAAAGATATCCAGCTAGCACGCCGCATACGTGGAGAGCGTGCCTAAACTTCACCTCGATGGGTTTGTCATTCTCGAAGCAAAATCTTCTTCCTGTTATTGGTAGTAATGAACGTTAGATATTTTTTCCATGGGGTTAAAAGGTACCTAAGTATATGGTTGCAAATGGAAAAATAGGGGACAGAATTGGATATTGGCAAGTCTTTTCCCATATTCATTTGTGTGTGGATTTTTAATATAAACAAGGGGACATAAAACATAAATGTGGTCAAAAAAAAAATTGTTCCAGTGAACAAGTTTCAACAATTCAACTTTATAAAAAAAAAAAATAAATAAACCTGTCAAATTTTTCTGGACAATGCCAGCATTTGGATTTTTTTAAACAAGTAAATTTCTTATCAATGGCAACTAAATGGTGTTTGTAGCATTTTTATCATACAGTAGATTCCATCCATTCACTATACTTTTCTAACTGAGTTGTCCTACATGCAATTACATGTTTTTAATGTTGTCTGTCTTCTGTGCTGTTCCTGTAAGTTTGCTATTAAAATACATTAAATGATGCCTGCTTTTTAGTCTTGATTTTCAAATATTACTTGTGGGTTATGTTTGATTGAAAAATAATTGGCTTTCCCTTTTTCTCTTCAGTATGTGGTCTAAATACTTAGACTAGATCTAGGAAACAGTGGGGATGCTACCTTGACTAATATAGTGTGTATGTGAGGGGTGGGGTTAAGAGTGTAAAATTTGTCTTGCTCCACGTGAAAGCAAATTTGGTGAGATTATCACTGGATAGAGTCTGGAGCTGGACCAAGCTCTCTACAGTACTAAGAAAAAGCACTTTTGTTGCTGTTTAGATTGCTTTCTTACTCCACTCAATGCTGAATTTGGAAGCATTTCTGATTTTCATGGTTGGTTAGTATGATATAAGCAGTGGGGTGTGGTGGTTTGGGGTTTTTGGTGTGTTTTGGGATTTATTTTTTTTTAAAACTCTTTTGCACTCTTATCTGGTTTCTTCTTTTGTAGGTGTTCGCTTTTTATTTGATAACCTTTCTGTTTCAATCACACCCTGTAGCATGTTTGAGAGCTTAGTCCATGTGTGATTAGTTGCAGTTTGTACACACCAATCAAAAAACACTTTTGTACCTTTTTTGTTAGTTACAGTACTGCAAGTATTGTAACTAGCTTGTAACAGTACTTGAAGCAGTACTAGGACAAGAGCAGCACACATTTGAAGCTTACTTTTTTTTTCATTTTCTCTTCCCTGCCCCCATTTGCTGATGAAGGTTCCTGTGAAGAAATTTACTGCTGAAATTATGTAAACTTGGTTTTAATTTTTCACCTGAAACTTGGTTAAGGGTTCTGATGGACCAGCCTGGAAATGAGTTATGTGGTGTGCTTTTTGATAGCTCTTGGAGATCATGAAATGAGGTACGTAGAAGAAAATATGTAGGCAGTGAATAGATTTCACCTCTGCTAAGACCCCTACAGAGCTTATTTGCTGTTAACTTCTTTCAAGAGGTTCTGAGTGAGCTCTAAACACATGAGTGAATTTATCTGAAGATTCCCAAAGAGGATTAATAGAGATGTTATTATCTGCTTTCGTCTCCTGAACAGAGAGCCAAGAATTGCAGAATAAATCACATTATTCATAACTTGCTCAGCACTAGTAATTAATGCTGTCTGCCAGGGTATTTAAATGGAGTAGGTTGTTGCAGAAAACTAATGCTAGACAAAATGGGATCACATCCTTTTGATGCCAAGCAGTTTATAGCTATCAACTAAAAATTAAGGAAAACTTGTCTTGGAGCATCCAGAACAGGAATGTAAAAGGTGAGCAACTGGGACTTAAGTGATTTAAGATGTCATTTCTGTCTGCTTGATAACAACCCTGTTCAACTTGCTTTAAATGCATTTCAATATAATTAACCACTTGTTCCATCCCATACTTCAAAATTCTGGTTCATGCATCAGTCAACAATGCTGCAATCATCTACACAAAAAGGTAATTAGACTGGTTTTGTTTCTTTAATTAATAACCTGGAATTGGGAGGTATTGGTAAGGAACTTAATTTTTTCTTTTGTAGGAATGTTAGGAAACCAAATCCAGAGATTCTGGTACTGAAATGAAATGCCAAGTTCTTTCTCTTAAAAGAATTGGGATGAGGAAGTTTAACTGACAATGCAGGTAAACGGTTCAAGGCAGCAGAATTCATAATGGCAGATGAGCAGATCAGGAATTTACACAATCCTGACAGCATTTGGGTGTGTGGTGCTACACCTGCAGCCTAGGGAAAAACTTTGCCTCTTTGAGAGTGTTGGTTATGATGATTATGGTCCTAGAGATGCCATGTGAATCCTGTTAGTGGTTAGTGGACTATGTCTATATTGATACCAAATGTTGTCTTGATTTTATTCCTGAGGAATCCTAAGGCACCACTTCTCTGCTCCTCACATATTTTTTCCAAGTATCGTGGATTTTCATTCTTCAGACTTCAACTCAATTACTTCGTGTCTAGCTTTCTCTCCCTGCATGCCCTGAGTACATTACCTTTTTGTCTTTATTGTGCAGCAGCAAGGAATAAGAACTATTAAATCATCAGCTTTTGTTAAGAACTGCTTTTTAAAAAAAATTCCAGAATGGTCACATGTCAGTCTGATTTTGGATGTTCTAATTTATGCTGTTTAATGTTAGTGAGGAAGGCAGTCTACAAAAGATGACATTACTTTTTAGTTGTTTTTTGGTTTGTTTGGGTTTTTTTAATGCTGAGAATTTAGTTATATGGGGTGTTCTGGTTTGGTTTTGTATTTCCTCCTGGCAGATTTTTGCAGTTATAAAAATACCTTTGGCATAACTCATCCAGAGTTGACAGTTCACTTGCACCTGGGAGACTCTCAAAGACAATAGAAAAAGAGCAAAGCAAAAGGTGGGGATACAAAAGCTGGAGAGGGAAAGGAACAAGACTATCTGCAGTTCCTGTTCATCAGCTTCTTTCCTTGTGTAGTAGCATCACTACAGGTAAGTTTCTGGGAAGTGATGGAGGGATGAGAGGACTGCGTAGCACCAGAGACCCACTGGGCACACGTGGATCGTTAGAGGAGGTAGGATGCAGCACGTTATCTAGAGTTTTAAGTTGCTGATGCTGTGGTGCTGGTGGTCCCTTCTATCTGCCACTTCAGGATTACAAGTTCCTGCTCCCAGGGGTGAAGAAGGCTGGACAAAATAGTTCTGATTCATGCAGTGGTGCAGCTTAAAAATAACTGAAGAATTGTGTTTTTATCAATGCAATTTCCCCATTTTGCACTTTGCCACATGTTAGTCGTGCTGTCTGGAGTAAGCAGTAGCTGCTGGTGGCCCTGGTAGCTGCCTGCATGTGCAGGTTCAGGCATCTGCTCAAAAGAAAATCGGCTTGTAGTCCAAAGTCTGCAGGCATTCACCAAATAGGTATTGCAGCTTGTCTTCTTGTTCTCCTGGGCTCTTTCATCTGGAGCTGGCAGGTGGGGAAATGAGTCACAGGGGGAGTTATCTGACCTACAGGATGGCAATCCACTAAAACACATTGCTGCTCTTGGCTGTCCTGATTGTTCTTTTGATTAAACAAGGGGTGGTCCTCTTGGAACTGTATATGCCTGCTAGTTAGGTGAGATCATTTTTGCGGAAACTATTGAAAAACAAATATTAATGGATTTAAAATGACTGAAGAGTTTGCTGTGGGTTTGTTTTCATTTGTTTGTTTGTTGGGTTTTTTTGTTTGGTTGGTTTGGGTTTTTTTGTTTGTTTGTTTGTTTTTTGGGTTTTTTTTTGTTTGTTTGTTTGTTTTTAGAGAATGACACTTCTCAGCCAGTTTTGCAAGTGCTGTTTTAAGTCTTACATGATTCTTACTATCTACAGTTGCCATATGTCAAAAAAAATTGTAATATTAAAAAATGTAAGTTCCAGTAACTTGTAATGTTTGGAGGTTGCAGGGGAAGGGAATACCATCAAACTGTAATGTGGCCTAATTTAACAGTGACAGAAAAAAACTGCTTAAGTCACACATGCTTCTTTCTGTGCAAAAAGAAATTATGGTTTACATGCAAGAAAAATGAAATACTGATTTAAAGCATTCTCATCCTGTGGAAGAAGTGGCTTCAGGTTCCTCTTGTACATCTGAAAAAGAAAGTAGGCTGAACTTCAGTTCCTAAAATAGTTTACCTCTTTTTCCCCAAAGCAATTCTGCTATTTCCTGGGCAATTGAGTTGTGACTGAGATTCTGAATACTAGAAAAAGGCTGTGGTCATGTGGGCATCCTCCTGGGGAGGAGCTTAACTGTACTGGGTGGAGGGATGGACATGACATGGCTCCTTACTTGTTAGCAATGACCATATTCAGAGGCTGAATGTCTGTTTAAGGCGTATTGTAGCATGTGTGTCCATGTTTCAATTTCTGAATTATTTTGTGAAGTTCCATATAACATGAATATGACAAGCTGGTTTCTAGGTCTTTGGTTTAGATTTGTATGTTAACAGCTGTGTTTACTTGCTATTTTCTCAAAAGCATAGAACCATTAAGGTTGGAAAAGACCTATAAGATCATCAAGTCCAACTATCAGCCCAACACAACCATGACCACTAAACCATGTCCCAAAGTGCCATGTCTACATGTTTTGTGAACACCTCCAGGGATGGTGACTCCACCACGTCATCCAGCCCTTTGTCCCTTCTGGCAGTAGCTATTAGACAATGCCACTGTCCAAGGACCAGATTCATTAATGCCTGCTCTATAACAGGTTGTAGCACCTACTTGAAATTACTAGTGCCATCTTGTTCAGGAAGGTGAGTAACTACAACTATTCCTGTTAAAATAACTGCTCACCAACTGCCTCTTACGCTGGTGAATTTTTGGGATGCCTTTTGTAATTTGGGACATGCATTCTTGTCCTCTGACTTTCACAGGGGTTTGTGTCCACTTAGTGATTTGAATCCACTTTTTGATGGGACTGAAAACAGTGTGTCTCACACACATACCTCCCGTGCCACCTTTTTTGGTCAATTAGCCAAATAATGCGACTGGGCATATCTGTTTGATCTGAAGTGATAGGAGGCAGGAGGGTAGGACTATCCATTTCCTAGCAGTATACAGTTTAGGTTCAGTTTCACAACCCACTTAATCCAACCTTATGCCTGTATTACCATTCTAATACCAATTTTTCCTGCCATATTTACCTCTCCTGAGATTTCATGATTCAGTTTATCTTCAGGAGCATAATATCAAATTCAAGGTTTAATGAAGTGCTGGCTGTATTGACATCAAAGATGTTGATGGCATTGTTCTCTACAATTTTGTTTCTTGTTATAGCAAACAAATGCGCAACTTTTCTTGGTCTTCATAATGAATAAGGAGTTAAAAATACTTTTCATGTAACTTGGCTTCAAAGGCTTGAATTCAGAGGAGGAATTCTAGTGTCAGAAAGGTTTTTCCCTGGCCCAGGTCACCCTGTTGATATTGAGAAGCTGTTTGCTCAGCTTTTACTTGTCTGTTACTCCCATCACCATGTATCATGAGTCATCCTCAGTGATGGGA